CATAGCGCACATCGGGGGTACCTATGGTTGTGACCTCACTCGTCCAACCATCCACATGTTTTAAACATAGCGAAGTTGTCCTCAACCTTCTCACCAGGATGACGGTTCGCTTCATAGTGGCATTTTTCCTTCTTCTCGTAATCTTCTTGAAAGCTAAGCTTCCACTTAAGTTTCCTTTGATTACGGTTGAAGTCATTGGTCACACTACAATAGTCCTCAGACCATGTAGTTATTACACCATCATAGGATCCTTCGTGGCTTTTAGCCGATCCACTAGACAACACAATAGGTACCAATTGTGTGCCATTAGCCACTGGTCTACCGGATCGTGAACCAAAGTTCTCCGGAGCACCATCGTGTGTCTTTGCAACTCCCATGGAAATAACATTTCCAACGTTGCTGCCATCAACTGGCATCTCAGAATGTGCAACCTCGTTGCCGTTCCTACCATTAGAATGTGCACCTCCGGCAACATTCACGGATCCAACACTTTTGGAATCCACCGACTTGTTCATTATCAAATAAGTAAGGTTTTAAGATTGTTGGTGATAATGAACCACAATCGATTTAATATCCGTAAAATAATATTTATATATATACACACGAAATATATATAAAATATTATTGGATATATATCCGAAATATATATATACACACAAATATATATAAAATGAACCCAACGGTTATATATACATGTATATCTACGAAAAAGATATACCAATATATATCAACCAAAAAGAAAATATAATCCTCAGATTATAATTCCAAAATAACAAGAAAGAACGGATTTTTGCTTAGAGCATAATCCAAAACAAGAAAGAAGAAGAAGGAAGAGAGAAATGTACGAGTTAGGCGAGTGCCTTTCTTTCCTTAAAACCTTATTTGCCACCTCCCAAAAGTGCTAGGAGCGTTGTGGCCTAGGTCTCCCAGGATAAAACGTACAACGGTTCGACGTTTGAGCACCCAAACGAACGAACCCGGCGAACTAGAGCACGGGCAAAACACAGCTTCAAGAATGGAGTAGGAGCAAAATTTTGAGAGGAAAAGAGAATTTCTTTGTGTGTTGTGTACTCTCGTGTTCTTCCCTTACTAGTTGTCTCTCACTATGCATGTGAAAAGCCTCTACTCCCACTACACTCTTATATAGGAGGTTGGTACTTAATAGCATTATTATGACACATTAACCAACATAAATTCAATTTAAAAATTGAATTATAACATTTGAAACGGTCGTACTTATTATCGAAATAATATCAACGGTCACGAACTTAATATCCGATTAATTCGTACCGACCATAACGTCCCGTTTCAAATATCTGAGTGACCGAGAAGTCCGTACAAACCCGAAAGGTTAACGAATTGGGACCGAAAACCACACCCGTATGGTCCGCAAAGTACCGAAACGGTGTTGCACGAATCAATGCACATAGCATTGACTCGTGCAGCACGAAAGATAGCTCACACGAAAGGAGCTTAATTCACTAATTAAACTTGCTTAATTACATGTAGCATCTTTCGTCGATGATAACATTCGTCCATGCAAACTTTCGTCCCAATTCCTATTTCACTATTTTAAGCTTTCCAAAGCTTAATCACAAGCTTGACAACTCATGTTGTCACACTAATTAAGCTTAATTTTAAGCTTTAAGCTTTCTAAGCTTAATTTGACTTCTCTCAAATAGGTTCACTTTGAGAATCAATTTCTCATTCACCTATTACCCATTTTGAGCGTACATTATATCAAATTCTTCGTCTCACTACGAAGAACCCGAATCCACCTTGACCCGACTCAAATCGGAAGTGGATCCCACATATATTTGTACCACAAAATAATCACTCAAAATATCATTTTAATGCTATTTTTTTCCAACACATCTATTTTTCTTGGTGGTCGTACTGCTCATTCGACATTCAAAATACCAATTAATGGAGATGATAAGTATGTCTGTAATATTGGAAAACGAACTGCATAAGTTATTTTATTAAAAAAATGTAGATTGATTCTTTGGGATGAAGCCCCTATGGCTAATCGTCGGGCTATTGAAAGCGTTGATACAACGCTTAGAGATATTATGGACACATACCAAATTTTTGGAGGAAAAGTAGTTGTTTTTGGAGGTGATTTTCGATAGACATTGCCATTTATTAGATATGGGAAGAAAGAAGATTTCATTGAAGCGAGTTTGGTTAAATCACCATCAATCTGGCCAAACATCCAACAATTAAATTGGTCCAAAATATTTGTGCAAATAAGAATCTAGCATTTTGTGAGTACTTGATGAAGATTGGCAATGGAACTGAACAATTCATTAGTCAAAACAAGATTAAGATTCCATCCTCATTCATTATTCCATGTTTGGATGATGATATTTTTCTTGATGCTTTATTTCAATCTGTATATCCTGACTTAACATGTTCCGGGAATGATCCTTATTCGTTAATGAACAGAGCCATCGTAACAACTAATAATGAGTTTGCAGATGAGATTAATTCTATCTTAATAGATAGATTCCCAGGAGAAAGTAAGTGCTATGTTAGTTTTGATGAACCAATTGATTCGAAGCAGATGCATTGTAAAGATTATTTACACACTTTATCCCCAGCTGGCCTGCCTCCTCACAAGTTACTTCTGAAGAAAAATTGTCCTATAATTTTATTGAGAAATCTGAATCCATCTGAAGGATTATGTAACGGGGCGAGATTAGTTTGTGATTCATTTGAAGATCATCTCATCAGTTGTTTGATTGCAGTTGGTGAATACAAAGGAAAACATGTCTTCATTCTAAGAATTCCTCTTGAGCCATCAAAGGATGAAAATTGTCTGATACCCTTTAAAAGAACTCAATTTCCTATTAAAGTGTGTTTTGCCATGACAATTAACAAAGCTCAAGGACAAACATTAGATTTTGTTGGAATCTACTTGAAAGAGCCAGTTTTTAGTCATGGACAGTTGTATGTGGCTATGTCTCGGGCAAAAAAACAGATTCGATCAAGATGATTATATTTAGTGATGATGGTCACAACAAACTGACTAATATTACAAATAATATTATTTATCAAGAAATCTTGGACTACATTTCTCAAACAACTGTTGCACCAGACAAAAACTAACACCATGTCCAACGTTTATTGATGTTAGTTTTTTTTTTACCCTCTTATTTCAAATTTAAATAAAAAAAATTTTGATATACTAATTATTTGCAATTGACAACTATTTATCTCACATGTGCCACATAATTTATAGATATCAATCCGTGAAAGCTGTTGAATTGGGACAATTCAATTCAAGTGATATGTGTATCGATATTTGACAAATCATCTATGGTTCATTAAATTAGTGTGACATGTTATCAGGGGCGGAGCCAGCATGGGGGCAGCTGCCCCCCAACCCCCCACCCCACCCCACCCCACCCCACCCCTATATTATCCTTGTATGTATATATGTATATATAGAACAGGTTTTAAGTATTAGTATAATAAAACACAAGAATTTAAACAAGTGTTGCTTCAGTTCGGTTAGTTGGGCGTGTGTTTGGCCTTTGGTAAGGTCCAGGATTCGAATCTTGTTGTGCTTAAATGAGTTTTATGACTTTTTATTATTATTAATTGTTAGACTATTGCTTCAACACAATTTCATATATATAAAATGAGATGTGTACTTTATAATTTATTTTCTATTCTAATTATTTTATCAAATTAATTATGTTTCATATTTTATTATAAATATTTTTATAAAGTTTTGATATGTTTTATTTTTTACTTATATCCAAAAATATTTATAATTATACTTTTAAGTGTTTCATTTTTTAAAAAACTATCTTTTTTTGTTGTAATGTTCTGCCCCTACTGACAAAATTTCCTGGCTCCGCCACTGCATGTTATTCAAAACGAGACCAGGTAATTTCTAAATTCAATTTACTCTTTTCTCTTGTTTTCAAATTTACTCTAAATTCAAATCACAAATATGTGGTGTGACATTCTGATTAGTAAAGAATTACAATATAAATCTTCTTTAACATGGTCAATCAACAGCGTTGGACCCAAGCACTTAAAAAAAAAAAACTTTGGATACATACTTCATAGTTTTTGAAACTGTATCAATTTGAGTAGGGATGAGAGAATGTGTATATACATATTTTGAGTACTTAAGATAACTACAATTATAAATTGTAATGACAAAATATTACAGATTATGGTATTGTATGATGTGTTAAGATACCTAACTATAGCCCACACACAATAACATAACCCTACTTGTTTTTAAGCCAACAACACATAATTTTACATCACATGGTCTAAGCTAGCATTATTCCATTCATCTTAATTCTCTACTTCAACATCTCTGCCACCTCTGTTGTTTATGTCTAATAACCTTTCTTTAGAAGGAAAAGACATTTAAACAAATTTTATTCATTTCTTTACAATTGTCTTTACATCAATGTCCTTTCTTCATAAAATACATAGCCTAATAGTTACAACATTTGACACTTTCATTTTAAAAACTTATAGGATCAGTAAGTAACATAGTTTTATGTGAGATTGGAAACACGGTAAAATACATGTTAACTAAATAACACAAATAGAAAATACTTGTAAAATAACGTTCAATACCCTAAAAATTACAAATGTAATAAATTTGTATTTCTTGTGAAAAAAAATAAAATAAAAAACAAAAAAAATTTACATCAATATTTATAAAAATTCATCAAATTGAAAAAAAACAAATGTAATTTATCCATTTCAAAATAATTTACTAATAAAGTTAAAACATTGTGCACAAGTTCTCGCGCAAACGCGTAAAAAAAAACTAGTTAAAGAATATGAATCAAATACGGAGTAATAAAATATAAAAAAGTGGACAAACAAGATAATGTATATCGAATATGATAGAGGGATACAAAAGTATTTGAATACGAATATGAATACTCCACCCGCTTTGTCGCCCATAGACCCAATCACCCAAACAGTATATAAATAGCTGTCGTGGGCGGGCCTCCGATATCTTAGTTGGATCCCTAACTGTTTCTTAAAACCCACCACTCTCTTCCCTCGTAACCCTAAACCTCCGACTCTGCTCTCCCTTTCTCCTTTCCTTCCCTTCCCTCAACAATGGCGAATCCTTTGGACGAGGAAACCACAAAGAAAGTTATTCGTCAGGTCACCTTTACTGCTTCCTCTCTTCGTTCTTTCTCTCTTTATTATTTTTGTCGGTCTTTGTTTTTCCTTATTATTTTAATTGTAATTTTCTCATGGGGGAAATTGAAACCTTTATTTTCAGGTTGAGTTTTACTTCAGTGATAGCAATCTTCCTAGGGATTCTTTTCTTAAGAAAACCGTTGATGAAAGTGAAGATGGCTGTATCCTTCCCTTCTGTTCATGTAAATGTACAACATTCATATTTAGTTGTGCGTGTACGTGTGCGTATTTTTTTTAAGGCCGGTGATTTTCAGAAGCTTGCAATTTTTATTTTATTTATTTATTTATTTATTTTTGTTTTTTTGATTGTGAATACAAATGGTTTTGTGGAGTTTGAGCTAAGATTATAATCTTTGTTGAGCTTAACTGGAAATTTAGTGGTGTGTTTGGCTTTGATATGTTCGTTTTCGAGGATGAGATCACATCTGGGTTTGGGAGCAGCAAAGCCAGAGGATATAACAGATGATACAGTGAAATCTGTGGCGGATGCATTGAAGGGCTCGACTTTTCTCAAGATTTCAGAGGATGGTAAGTGTTTCATTATTTTGAAAAGAAAGTTGGCAGATGATACAGTGAAAACTATGGCGGGTGCCATATTGTGTTTGTGTGGCTGATTTGTATTTGTGTTTCAGGAAAGAGAGTTGGCAGAACTACAGAATTGCCAAAGCCCGAGGTGGTTATAGAACAACTAGATGGGAGGACAGTAGCTGCATCTCCATTGGAGTATGATGTCAAGCTTGAAGATGTTGAGTCATTCTTTGGCCAACATGCTAAGGTATTGTATTCAACAATCTCAATTCTCATATTTGCATGATTACTTTAGATGCTTGAATGCAGTAAGTGTTGGTTTTATGTTGTAGAATCCAAACTTGTTTTGATCCTCAGGTTAACAGTGTAAGGCTACCTCGCCATGTTGCTGACAAAAGGCTATTTTGTGGCACTGCCCTGGTTGAATTTTCTAGTGAGGAAGATGCCCAAAGTATTCTGAAGCAAAGCTTGGTTTATGCAGGAGTGGAGTTAGAATTTAAACCAAAGTAAGTTGTGGCCATTGTTGTTGGTTTCAAAAGTGGTCTAACACTACAATTACATAGCAGTTACATTCAATTAATACTTGCAAGTATAATTTTTAGAAGTAATATTTATGTTTGGTTTAACTTTCTATTTCTAAAGAATGGATGTGTTCTGACTACTAATATACTCTGCTTGGCTCATTTTTCTTGAAATCTGATAAACGAACTTTATTTTCCCCACACTAGAGACAGTACTGTCTTTGAGTTGAGGAGTAAGAAATTTTTGAAATGGAGGTGGTCTTGAAATAAAATGATGTGGTTGCATTTATATGATCTTCTGTTCTTTAATATCAGATTACAATTCTTTTGTTGTTTCTAGCAATAGGTTTAGGGTGCATTAGTGAGAGTAAAGATTGTATATGGATTTACGTATATTTTTAGGTTTCATTTCATGCAGAACTGCTATTTCAGTTACACTATGGCCTTCCATAAAAGGAAATGTACACTTATTCTAGATATTCAAGAAACCTTTCCCTCAGTTAATTGCTTCCTTGATTTTTTGATCTGCTTTTGGTTAATGATCATGCATACATCTCATTTGCGTTTTCTTTTACCAGGAAGGACTTTGATGAAGAAAGAGCTCAGCAGGAGAAAGACGCTGAGAGTAATAATCATCAGGGTTCATTTCGTAAAAACCATTCCAACTCTGAACCTAAGTAAGTGGTGTTACCGCAAAATATTTGGTGGATTTGTCATTACTGTCAATGCAATTAATTCAATATTGATTTTTGCAGCTACCCCAAGGGCTTGATTGTTGCTTTTAAACTGAAGAAGATCTCAGAGGAAGGTTCTGCAGAACAAAATGGGGACCAAGCACCAGCTGCTGACAATGTTGAGGTCCCTGCTGCTGCAGATGCAAAAGCTACAACAGAAGATGACAAGGAGATGACTGAAACAAAAGAGTCAAAAGATGAAGAAAATCCTGAAAATGGTGGTGAGGGAGATGACAGTGTGGAAAATGAAGTCCAGGAATCTGAAGCTGCAGGGAAATCTGAGGAGAGTCCAATGGAAAAGGATGATGAAGAAGCAAAACAAGAAAGACCAAACATTTCTGAATGCAAGGACAATAAGGATGTTGTTCTACGAGAAGATCTGAAGACTTTGTTTAAGAAATTTGGTTATGTTAAGGTAAGTTGCTTTACCATGTTTTGGATATTATGATGATTATTATTATTATTTTTCTGGCTGATGCAAAATCCAGTTTAATCATAATTTATTTCCTTACTCTTGAGGTAGTCTCTTCATTTTATCTCTGTAGGTGCTTGCTCTTTTCTTTTATCTTTCCATTATGTGCTTGCAAAAATAATGTGAATTTGTTTACCTTGTAGTTACTAATGTTGTTGTTACTGTTTAACAGAAAGTTGACTAATTTTTTGGTTCACTTCTCTGTATAGTTTGTCGATTTCGCAATTGGAGCAGATTCAGGGTACGTAAGGTTTGAGGATGCCGAGGCAGCTCAAAAGGCCCGAGCTGCTGCTGTGCTTGCTGCAGATGGTGGTCTGGTGGTGAAGAATTTTATTGCTACTTTAGATCCTGTAACAGGTATGGTTTATTTTTGTGTTGTCTTTGTCAAATTTGTTTCATTTGTATAGTTATATTTGCCATTGAGAACGTTCAAGAGATGGTTGTGTTTGTTTTAATTGTCTAGATGATCTATATCATTGTTTAGACTTTGTAATTTTGTATGCAAGTATATTTAACGAGGCTCTTGTAATTTACACACCTTTTTTGGGGGTATGGTACTTGTTTCTTAAAGAGCTTCAATTTTGTTCTGTTTTTGTCAGGTGATGCCGAGAGGGAATACTGGAGTCAGCTTCGTAGTGGTCAGGAAAAATACCGTGATACTAGGGGGGGATACAGAGGAAGGTAGGATATATTCGTTAACATTCTTTTCCTTAATGAATGTGGTATCTTGGTTTTAAGCTTACCAGAAGTCCAGAACCTATGATGCACAGAAACTCCCTAGTGAGTGTTTTTGCACGTTTCAAAAATATGTTCTTCCAGAAAAAGTTATGAGAACTCCATATACTCCATAAAACGTGTAAATATTGTTTTCCCTAAATAATAAAGCTTCACCGTTCCCCTCGTTTTTCCCCATTTTGTGCTACCGATTAGAACTAGTAAAGTAAAATGACATAAATATCCATCTTTACTACCAGATCCTGTAAAAGCTATGTTTCATTCTTGCAGGGGTGGCAAATTCAGAGGCGGGAGGCACTCGCGCCACAGAGACAATAATTCAGGTCGCCCGAACAAAGTTCAGAAGGTTGGAGCATAAATAGACCTCTTCACACGAGAACTGAAGACACGGCACAATTATGTTACGACATTACCCTGCGGTCTTCGTTCTCAGATTTTTGTGTTCTTGCATTATAAATTATGTTTGAGCTCTAAGCGTCTTTAATTTATAGTACTATGGTTTTGCATAAAACTTACTGGAAACCCCTTTTCGTTAAAGTAATGATAGTTTGGTTGTCAATTGAATTTGATGCGTTAGTTATCATTTGTGATGTTCTCCAATTTACATTTTGGTTTTCACATACATCTAATCCTCAGCTGGAAAGTTTGTAAACCTTTGAAGTAGCCATCTTAATAACATGGTTTAGTCATCGGTGTCTAATGGTGAAAATTTTGAGTACACTTAAAAATCATAATCCAATATTATAAAAGGATATTTTGATTTATGAAAATTGTCATTATGCCATGGATTGTAGTTCATCTTATAAAGTGAATTATTGACACATGGTTTATTTTGATTAGATTAAAAGTTCATTTTTAATATACTAAGGGTGTGTTTGGTTGGTAGGTTTAGCACTTAGGTCATTCACATTTCACCCTACTATCAAACATGCAAAATATTTTTATCAAAATTCATTACTATTATAAAGTATATTTGATATTCATTCCGATTCTGATTTCGATTCTCATGTACGAACCAAACACACCCTAAATAATATTTTTTGTATATTTAAGATTTATTATTTGCTACATTACTTTTAAAAAAAATTATAATAAAAATAAACTTAAATGAACAGCTTGGGAGTCTAATTTAGAATAAAAACTCAAATCGCCCACCGTGGGGCTCGAACCCACGACCACAAGATTAAGAGCCTTGCGCTCTACCAACTGAGCTAAACGGGCACTTGTTAGATTAAAATTAAATTCAAGTTTGGAAAAAAAAATATGAAGACTCTAATTAATGTAGGAGAGCTAACTCTCTAATAATCATTATGTATATAGAGGGTTTATTATTTGCTATAGATATTATTATTTAAAATTTTTATGTATTATTATTATTATTATATTGTATAAATGTAAATATTATTTAAATTTTTTTATGTAATAATAATAATAATAATAATAATAATAATAATAATATTATTATTATTATTATTATTATTATTATATTGTATAAATGTATTTGTGTCTTTTAAATATATATTCTATTTCTAATTCTTAATCCAACCAAATACTAAAATAATATTCCTAAAGTATATGTCTTAGTAAATCAAACAATAGAATATATATCCTATTCTATTTTTTGTCTATTCTATTTCCCAAGAAATATTATTTTTATTTTTTTTTTAAATTCATTTCGTGAACCAAACATACTGATTGATTTAATTAACTCGGGTAGTCCGAATTACAAATCCAATAATAAAGTAAAAGGATAATACGGTAATAGAAGACAAGAAATATATGTCATGGAGAAAATTCTTGTATTGATAAGAGTTTGTAGGAGAATTACAAAGAAAATGTAATATATTAGACAAGATGTTGTGTCCTAAACAAGACAAGAGTTGGCTATTTATATAAGCTAGCCCCCACCGTCCCATGAGAATATAGTGGGCGGTTGGATCACGGTTTGACTTTGTCCGCGTGCACACACCCGAGCCCTAGGACATCTCTATTGAAGCCGCCCTCCGCTACAAGCCCCTGGGTCGTGGATGCCCCTAGCTGAGGCTGACCCCAATCGGGGTCGACCTCGACCTTAGCTGAGGTCGACCCCTGCGGGGCCCTTCATGCCGTGCCATCTCTTCTCTAGGTCGGTTTGCCTCGAGCCTGTTTTTAATATATCAATTACATATGTTATTTGTTTTTCACCAAGAGATGATACATCTCCGATTGTTATTATATTATTATATTATATTATTATTATTTTGCGATGGAGAAGTGCGATTATTTTTAAAAGTGAAAAATTATTTTATTATGCTGTAAAAAATAATGAAGAAATTATAAATTCGATAATGTAAAAGAAAGTATTAGAAGTATGAAGATAGCATTGCATAGAGAAACGTGCCGTCAAACAAAATGGCTCTCCCGTCAACAACGTAACCTTATCCGTCGCTCTCTCCTATAAACAGTGACATTGACAATTTCACATGTCACATATCCATGCTAAAATCGTTACATAATGTTTATTACTTCACGTAACGGAGAGTAAACGGTGTTAGCTTCACCCCATGCTGCGGATCTCTCTCCCTCGTCACGTCACGTCACGTCAACATTTCATCTTCCTTCTTTCATTTTCATTTCATATAAATTATAAAGCCTTTCCTTGACGTCTCGCAGCGTTTAACTAAGGTCCTACACGGAACAAAAACGAAGGAAAGTTCAGTTTGCATCACCGGAGCTAAAATGCGCCCTCAAGCACCGTCGTTCGCTGCCTCACCCGCCGATCGCCGGCTGGAGCTTCTCGCCCGCCATCTCGATCCGTTATTAACCGCCGCCAACGCTCACAATCGTAACCAGATTGTTTCGGCTTCACCGACTTCTGGATTTTCAGCTCCCGACTCTGTCTTCAATCACGTCGTTCGAGCTCCCGAAGATCCTATTCTCGGCGTATTTCTCACTCTCTCACTCTCTCTCTCTCTCTCTCTCTCTCATAATCGTGAAAATTATGATCGTATGCTTCGTTTGGATTTCATTTTTTAGGACAAAAGTAGTTTAACCGAATGATCAGATTAAGTTTTAGTGAGAAGGTGAAATGTAATATATTTGACGAATCATATGTATTAATTATAATTCGGCGAGTTTTGGTGGTAAAATATTTTGTGTTTTATTTTGGATTGCACAGGTCACTGTTGCATATAATAAAGATCCCAGCTCTGTGAAATTGAATCTAGGAGTCGGTGCTTATCGGACTGAGGTGAGTTGTTTTCATATTTGTTTTCATTATGATGACCGTGATTGCATTGGTGGATAATCTGTGCATTGATATAGTGTTATGCATATGATTATATGTCTAGTAGGGGGAACATTGTTGAGATTGCTGTAAAATGTAAATTGGGTTTTTCTTCTTGTGGTGAATATTGGAACTAAATGCTATTTGCTTGGGAGTGTTAGTACTTGCTGTTGTGTTGAAATGTATATTTACAGAATTTGGAGCATTTAATTCTGATCATAATCTTGGGGATGAGCATCTGCAATGCTGATCTGTCTTTTGTTGTTGGTTCTTGATCATATGACAGGAAGGAAAACCTCTTGTCCTGAATGTAGTAAGGAAAGCAGAGCAGTTACTAGTTAATGACAGGTATTTATGCATCATTCTATTTGTCATGTAATTTGGAAAGTACAGTTGTCAGTGATGAAGCATTTGAACTATGCAGATCTCGGGTGAAGGAGTACCTACCGATTACTGGTTTGGCAGACTTCAACAAATTGAGTGCTAAGCTGATACTTGGCGCTGATAGGTATGATTGCTCCTATTCTACCTGTTTCTTAGAGCCGTACTGCTTGACGTGGGAGTTTGTTTCTTGTGACATTCAAAATAGCCTAAAGCGTATGCTACTTTTGTTTTTATATGCCTAGACTAGAAGTCTCCGTAAATGGAACACTTTGCTTTTTATATTGTGTTCTATGCTTCTCAATTTCATCTATCCTTGGAGTGCCCAAGAAACTTTTCTAGGAAGTATGTAGTTTTTCAGTTTTTCATTGCCTCGAAATGGATAATCTAGTTTGGATTTGTGCAATACATTACATAGCAGTGGCATCTGGTCCTTGGCATTCTGTTTTAATGCCTGCGGTCACAGCTTAGCTTGTTGAAATTTTTATAAACAATTAATTTGGTCTGTTTTAAATTTGATTTGTAGTCGTAGACTCCCAGTATATAGGAATACTGAATGAAGTGATATGATAAATATCTACCTTACGAATTTTGGAGTTAATGGGACTTGGCAAGGCTTATCTTCCATCAGTCCATGTGTAATGGGTCTCTGCTCTGCTGGAATCCTTAAAAGTTGAAAATGGTTTCCATTTCACAGTATTCCCAGCCAGCCATACTTGATCCTGTAGCTGGTTATACTCTGAATCATGCTCATGGAATCCTTCTATGCTATAGCTGCTTCTATTTTGTTCTAACTCTTAATTTATAAGGTCTGTAAGGAGGAAGTATTTTTTGTCTAATGTTGTCTTCAGCAGTACTTAATAAAGTGATATTATTTGTAGATCTGCCATTGTTTTTTTGGAATGTGTATGTCTGACTAACTTGTGTGTTTCTGTCATCCTAAATGGAGTATAAACATTACTTTAATGATGTTTATGTATTAAATTTTTAATTTTATTTTTAATGAGATCAAGATATTTCCTTCATTAGCTTTTAAGTATACATTTCCAATTTATATAATATGGTGAATGACTTGGATTTCTTGGCATATATAGTCCTGCAATTCAAGAGAACAGGGTGACAACTGTGCAGTGCTTGTCTGGTACAGGCTCATTAAGGGTTGGAGCAGAATTTTTGAAACGACATTATCATCAAGTAATTTTTTGTCTTTCATATATCAAGTGATTTGACTATCTTTGATATCCATTTGACCTTCATTTGCATTTCTATACAGCACATTATCTACATTCCCCAGCCAACATGGGGAAACCACCCAAAGGTCTTTACATTGGCAGGTTTGTCAGTAAAGACTTACCGATACTATGATCCTACAACTCGTGGACTAAATATTCAAGGTACATTTTACTTTGATCTACAAATCTGGGAGTCATTAATTGTTCCTTTCATAGCCTGCTTGTTCCTTGGAATTGTATTGTACATTTTTCTTTTCATGTGTTCAAGATCTTCAGATGGGACTGTGTTTTCTATGAACTTTTATTTTTATTGACTAACTAACAGGCTTGCTGGAAGACCTTGGATCTGCTCCTTCAGGGGCAATTGTTCTTCTGCATGCATGTGCTCATAACCCCACTGGAGTTGATCCAACTTCTAATCAATGGGAACAAATCAGGAAGTTGATGCGATCAAGATCATTGTTACCTTTCTTTGATAGTGCTTACCAGGTGGCATGAACGACCAAGCTTAAATTTTATAGTTCAGAGTATTGCATTTTAGTTAATAGTACGAATTGTTGGCATTGCAGGGTTTTGCAAGTGGAAGCCTGGATGAAGATGCGCAGTCTATACGGATGTTTGTTGCTGATGGAGGTGAATGCCTTGTTGCTCAGAGTTTTGCAAAGAATATGGGTCTCTATGGTGAAAGGGTTGGAGCT